ATCATAAAAAATGATGTATAAACATAAAATAAAAAATTTTTTTTTCATATGTGTTTAGTCAGAAGAAGGAAAACGAAACTTATGTGTTTTAGTTCTGTGCTGTACAAGATTCTTGTTGTTAAAACAAAAGCAATTAACTATACTAAACTAAAAAACTGGGTGTTTAGATTGGAATTCTTTAAATGTTTTAATTTCAAATAAGGAAAAAAATCAAAAAAGTATAAAATTTAAGGAATTTTATCTATTTTTTTTCCTTAGAGTATAGAACAAAAAATTAGACAATTTTACATTTGTGATATTTATTTTTGTATTTTGAATCTCTGGAAAGAAAAATGCTAATTCAGAACAACATTATTTAAAAATTTGTCTTGAAATCTATTGGTTAAAAGAAAATGTTATCAATAAATTTTATTAATATACTGGTAAGATAAAATACAGTATAATGTAGTATACAGCACAGCTTTATATTGAAATGTAATTACAGTGACTCGCAAACAAAAGTGTTCGTACACTTATGACTTTCAATGAAATAAGACTATCCATTAATTAAAATGAATATTTCAGAATGGATATTTAATAATAAAAAATTTATTCTAATCTTAACAAAACTGTATGGAATATTTTAAAAACAAAGGAAAAGTTTATTTTGAAGAAATCAATCATCAAAAAGTGACAAAAACTTTATCCCACAAAAGCCATTGTATACTTTCAAAAAAAAAATTAAATCTGTTTTAGTAAATATTCTAATTTTTCATTAAATTAACATTTAGTAGTTTCCTTTCGCATCCTCTATAGCTTTTATAAGTTTGTAAATATAAACTAGTTTTTTTTTGTAGGGAGAAATTTGTTCGGAATATTTTTTAAAAAATTTTACAGAAATTTTTGTATCACTCTATTGTGAATTTATGAATTTTTCCACAAATTTTATAATTTTAATCACTGATTTGAAGTCCTCCTTTTATGCATTTTATCATACATTGCACAGTGCATGCCTCTTAAGATGACAAATAATCAAATTTGGTCTATTGTTTTATTAGGACTACGAGCCGTTTTTAAATAATAAAATATTACAAAGTTAGTAAGCAAAAATTAAAATATAATTTTGCTATCATAAGTTTGATACTAAATTGCAAAAAAAATAAATAAAAAATTAAATGGATAATAATTAAATAAAAAAATTAAAGCAAATGAAGATAATTTTAATTCTGAAATCCGAAAACATTTAACTGTCCGATAGTTTTCGTCGGGTAAAATGTTTGTTACTATTTGATTATTGATATCTTAAAAATTAACTTTTGCTTTGTTTTTAAAATATTCCATGCAGTTTTATTTCCTATTTCAATAAAAGTTATAAATGAGGGAGCACTTTTGGGAGACACAGTAATTATAAAAATTTATTGATATATAATCACCTGAGACTGTTTTCCTTTACTTAATGAAAATATATTAAACAATACTTAAACAAGGTTTTATTGGTCATTCTGTTTTTGCCATTTTGTAGGTACACTTTGAGCAAATACTACTTAAAGTAAAACATTAAAAAAATTTTATTCAATAAAAGCAATATATCCTACAAGCTAAGCATATTATTTTCTCCACGTGTCTTAATTTTTTAAAAATTAATGTTGTA